ATATTTGGGCAGATTTTATGTGAAATATGAGAAAAAAGAGAACTCAAAAATGATGCCAGTATTTTTTTTTTAAATGTGATCCCAAAGTTTTTGCTTCAAACATCTGGAAAGGTAGGTTTCTATCAACTGAGGTAGGAAAGGCCTCAGGTGGAAGAGGTCTGAAGACAATATTGGCAGTTCAGTGTGGGGCATGTGGACTTTGACAAGTTCAGATGGAGTTTTGAACATGTTGAGTTTGAGACACTGAAGTGGAGATGATGAGTAGGAAGTAGGATATATGAATCTGGGTTATGGAAGTAATCTCACTTGAAGAGAGGAATTTAGAAGTTGTGGGTGTAGAGATGATTCTCAGAGCCATAAGACTGGATGAGGCCACCAAGAGAAGGTACACAGAGAAGAGCGCCAAGGACTGAGCCCTGGGAGACATCAACATCAAACAGCTGGAGGAAGTATTTGCAAAAAGGAGACAGAAAAGGAGCAAATAGTCAGGTGGGAAGAATGTGGCGTCCTGGAAACGAAGTTAATAAAGTGTATCAAGAAGGACTGTTTTTGATGAGTCGGATGAGATGAGAAATGGTTGTTGAATTTAGTAATATAGAGATCATTCATGACCTTGAAAAGAGAAGTTTTGGTGCAGTGATGGAACAAAGGCCTGATTAGAGAGGGTTTAAGGCAGAATGAGAGAAGAGGAATTAATCAATAATGGAAAACTATCAAGTTTAGCTACAGAGGGGAGAAAACAAGCAGGATGATAACTGGCAAGGTAAGCAGGGCCAAGAGAAGTGGTTTTGGCTTTTTTTAAAGGGGAGAAATAACTTTTTTTTTTTTTTTTTTTTGCTTTTAGGAGCGAAGAGTTGATGATGAAGGGTATAGAGGAATCGCTGGAGTGAGACCCTGGAGTTAGGCAAGAGGAGGTGAGGTCTGGTCCCTAACTGGAGGAACTGGCTTTAGAGCGGAAGTTCACCTGTGTAAACAGTTACGAAGGCAGAATGTATGGGTACAGATGTTAAAAGATGCGTAAAAAAAATGGTGAAGGGACCAAATGCAAGTTCTCTTATGATTGCTTTCATTTTCTTACAAAGTAGAAAGCAAACCTGATTGAGAGTGAATATGGGAATCTAGTCATGTGGTAAATTGCACTGATAGATTTGGGGATCTTGGCCTATCTTTGCATTTTTGGAATAAACACTTCAATATATTTGTAAAATATGTTTGTGGATTCAGTTAACTATTAGGACTTCCAAATAAACATTTATAAGTAAATGGGCTCACATGGTTGGTTTTTTTTTTTTTAATCTCATTGTTCTTATCTAGTTTTGGAATAAAGAATATACTAGGTTCATAAAATACGCTGAGCAGCTTTTGCTCTTTTCCTCTTTTCCTGGAACAACTTGTATATGATTAGAACTTACTGTTCTTGAAAAGCAGATAGAACGTACATATAAAATCATCTATGTCTTTTTAAATTTTCTGTCAATTAAGTCATCTTGTATTTTTCTAAGGATTCATCCATTTCATTTTGATTTTAAATATGTAACATTCATAATATTCATCTATTTTAAATACTCAGTTATATCTGTTCTTTCTTCGTCATTCATTTTTATCTCTTCTTTCTTGATTAGTCTGGCTAGGGTTGTATCTATTTTATTAATCCTTTTAAAGAACCATGTTTTGGGTTTCTAAACATTTATAGTGTTTTGGTTCTGTATTTCACTGATTTCTTAATTTGGGTCCTCTCTGTTGTTCTTTTTCAAATTCATAGATCTGAATAGTCATGTTTAACCTTTCCTGTTTTCTGGTGAGTAGAGCTTGTTTCTCTTTAAATTACCTCCCCACCCCCCCAAAAAAATAAAAATAAATAAATTACCTCCCCAATTTGACATATATTTTCTTTTTTATTTTAAGATTTTATTTATTTGACAGAGAGAGACAGCAAGAGAGGGAACACAAGCAGGGGTAGTGGGAGAGGGAGAAGCAGGCTTCCCATGGAGCAGGGAGCCCGATGCAGGGCTCGATCCCAGTACCCTGGGATCATGACCCGAACTGAAGGCAGACGCTTAACAACTGAGCCACCCAGGCGCCCCGACATATAGTTTCATTAACTAGTCTTTAGCTGCCTTCATTCATGAAAAAGTTTCCTTCTCATTGTCTTTTTTTACCCTTTGAGTCACAGAACATGGCACATCCCAACAGGAAGCTCTTTCTTCGATTTGCCTGGACAACCTAATTTCCTTTTTCCCTCAGTGTACTCTGTTAATTATGACACATCTTAATTCATCACGTATTTATCTGTCTTAGATGACTTAGTATTCAATATCTTTAATGTCTATCCTAAAGTTTTAATGTTCCACAATTCAGCTTAAGCATTTTAAATGCAAAGTTAGTAAATAGTGTTCTAAAAGGACTTTAACTACAAGGTACAGGGATTCACCTAAATAACTTTGAGGAAAAATGGTGGGGGAGATAGTTATTTTAGAAACAAGATCTAGGTGGTGCCTGGGTGGCTCAGTCTTTAAGCGTCTGCCTTAGGCTCGGGTCATGATCCCAGGATCATGGGATAGAGCCCCACATCAGGCTCTCTGCTCCGCGGGAAGCCTGCTTCTCCTTCTCCCACTACCCCTACTTGTGTTCCCTCTCCGACTGTGTCTTTCTCTGTCAAATAAATAAACAAAATCTTAAAAAAAAAAATAGAAACAAGATCTAGGAAAGGACTTGGAAAGTCTCTGGAAAGCCTGAGGAATCACATCAGCTTTAAAAACCACCTTCTCTTTTTTTCTCTCTCTCTGAATCTTTTCTCCTTCAGTATTTATGTTTCTTTAAGACTTTAGCTTGTCATGACAAGCTTCATAGTACCCTTTCAGTTTCATTTCTCACTACTTGTTAGTTCTAACTTCAGAGAGAGGACATTGATTGGGCCAACTCATGTTTTCACATGGCATGGATTGCTGGCCACCATAGTAGATTGATTTCTTTGGGGTCAGGTATAGTGTTCAACTGTGGCTGTAGGGTGGAGTCCAATGGTTCAGAGCAGGGCTGTTTAAGGACAGGCTCTACAGCAGTGGTTATAGGCAAATGTATCCTTCTGGAAGGGACAGTAGATAGGCAAGAGCAATGATGGAAATCCAAAAAGTCTCCAAGTAATTACCTTCTCAATTTATTTTAATTTCTTTCCAGTAATACTGAATGAGTTAAGAGCAGTGTCATAGCAGTCAGTTCACTGAGCGTATCACCAATTCTTCATCTGTTCTTATTTCAACAATGAACAAAATGGTTATAAAAAGTGCATAAAAGGACGAATACAGTAGTCCCCCCTTATCTACAGGGGATATACTCCAAGACCCCCAGTGGATACCTGAAACCAGTGATAGTACCAAACCTTACATAAGCTGTTTTTTCCTATACATGCATACCTACAATAAAGTTTAATTTATAAATAAGGCACAGTAAGATATTAACAATAGTAATAAAATATAACAATTATAACAATATACTGTAATAAAAGTTATGTGAATGTGGTCTCTGTCTCTCAAAATACATCATATGTCCTCACCCTTCTTGTGGTAATGTGAAATAATAAAATGCCTATGTGCTGAGATGAAGTGAGGTTAATAATGTAGGCATTGTGACATAGCATTAGGCTACTACTGACCTTTTGATGCTCTGTCAGAAGGGGGATCATCTGCTTCCAGACCAGAGTTGACTGCAGGTAACTGAGACCAGAAAAAGAGAAACTGCAGCTAAGAGGGGACTACTGTAACCCAAGTAAAAGATGGGCAAAGGATTTGAATAGACATTTCTACAAAGAGGATATACAATAAGCACATGAAAAGATGCTCAACATCATTTGTCAGTAGGTACATGCAAATCAAAACCACAGTGGGATATTGCCTCCCATCCACTGGGATGGCCATAATCAAAAATGGAAAACGCAAGTGTTGATGAGGGTGTGGAGCAACTCAAATCCTAATATATCAATGGTGGGACTATAAAATGATGTAGTCACTGTGGAAAAGCTTGGTGGTTTCTCAGAAAGTTAAACAAATTTACCTTAATAAAATAAATTTACCTAGATATTAAGGTTCTACTACTAGATATACACTCAAGAAAATTACAGACATATGTTCACACAAAAACTTGTATGTGAATATTCACAGCAGCACTATTCATAATAGCCAAAAGGTGGAAACAACCCAAATGTCCATCAACTGATAAATGGATCAACAAAATGTGATCTATCCATACAATGGAAAACTATTCAGTCATAAAAGGAATAAAATGCTGATACATGCTACAACATGGATAAGTGAAAGAAATCAGACCTAAATGGCCACATGTGTGTGGTATGATTTCATTTTCAAAATGGGCAAATCCTTAGAAATGAAAAGTAGATCAGTGGTTGCCCAGGGCTGGAAGAAGAGGGAAACAGAAATGACTGTTCATGGGTATGGGGCTTCTCAATATACAAATATTCTGGAGTTAGATAGTGGTAATGGTTGCACAACCTCATGAATATACTAAAAAACACTGAATTGTATGCTGTAAAATACTAAATTTTATGACATGTGACTGATATCTCAATAAAAAATGTCTTTGCATAAAAAATATGCAAAGATTTCTAAGCTTTTTCATAGGAAAACACTACTTACAACTATTTTAGTTAAAATCTTTATATTGCTTTTGAAACCCATTTTATTATTTAAAATGTGATTACTTGTTTTTTAATAATTAGCAGACTTTAGGGGCCCCTGGGTCGCTCAGTCGGTTGAGCTTCCAACTTGTGAGATCAAGCCCTGCAGCAGGCTCCTCGCTCAGCACAGAGTCTGCTTGAGATTCTCTCCCTCTCCCTCTGCCCCTCCCCACGTTGGTGTGCTCACTGTCTCAAATAAATAAATAAATAAATCTTAAAAAAATAATTAGTGGAATTTAGTATTCTAGTATTATGATTAAATTTTCATCTAAAGGAAGATTTTAATAAAGTAGGATTTTTTCTTGTTTCTCAGTCTCTACTTCTGCCTCTGAGGAAGACGCGATAAACAGTTTGAAGATGTCACTGCCTGAGTATAGATATACAAGGGCCAACGTGCCACCTAACGAGACAAGAGAATTTTCCTCATCACAAGATAACAATCAGTATATTCATGAAATTTCAGAATTTCAGAAGAAAAATACAAACAAAATTAAAACCTTAAGCAACGTGTTTTGGGAAATCATCCCCAAAGAAAATGCAGAGGATACTCAGAAAAGTGTTGTCTTAAAGGATGTACAATAGAACTCAGTATTGCATGTTTTCCATATATTGAATACAAAAACTTACATAAACAAGTACCATCATTTGTGACTGGGATATACTAACCATCACAGGAATTATACTAACTTAATAAAAGCTTAATGTATTTATTTTACTTTATTTTTGGTAATTATCCTTGTAGGTTCTTTGCTGTGAACACCATCTAAAAGTATTTGCAGGTATTTTGCAATACCGTATGATGGTAATAGGAATCTTAGTATTTTCTTTGGTAACCCCAATTTTTCCTATATTTTTATATTTGAAGATGTTACTGGAGGTGGCATGATCCATGTAGCCAACTAAGAATTACCTGCTGATGCTTGTCATTATGCTAGAAACTCTGTCCGGCTGCCTTTAAATTGGTTATGGTGTGTTCTGCATTCCATCTGTATGACATACAGACCGACATCCTGTGACTATTAGGCTCACTCCAGGGAGGCTCACTCCAGTATGCCAATACGTCTGTCCCACCATCTTAAAAAGAACAAACCAGCTACCACTCCTAGGAGGAGCTCTTATACTGTAATTGTAGGTACTCTTTTAATTCCTTGAGTTTTATTACAGTAACTGGTCAGAAATCTTTCCACAGTCTTACTAGGACTTAAAGAGAGTTCAGTGAATGTCTCTAAGTCACAAACTCTCCAACATACTCTGAAGGTGCTGATAAAACGTGATACTCTGTTTTGGCTTGGTCAGAATAGAGTGCTGACCTTGCCAGCAGTGTCCACAGCACCTGGGAACTTGTTAGAAATGCAGTTCTCAAGTCCCACCCCAGGCCTACTGAATCAGAAACTCTGGGTGTGGGGCTCAGCAATCTGCGTTGTTACAGGCCCTGCAGCTCATTCTGAAGTCAGTTAAAGGTCGAGAACCAGTCCTATGGAATACTGTCGAAATCTTACCATTTATGTGCTTGCGTATTTCAACTCAATATGATGTTATAACACTAAGTTCGTGGTGTATTTTTCCACTTTATGTCCACATGTGAAATATTTTGAATGGTACAAATTAGAGAAAAACTTATTCCAAAGAATTCAGAGTGGAATCCTTACTTTCCACCATTAATTAGGAGGTAAGCATCATTTGAAATCCTTCTCTAATTTCTTTCTCAAATATGTACTGTAATGTTCTTTACAATTAAAACTTTTATTCCTATTTGGAGCTGTTGTTTCTTAGGACAAAGGGTCTTTTTCACATGTATCTATATCGTATACATTAACAATGCATTAATAAATATGAACTTTTTTTTACCAGTTCCTGGGTAGTCTACATTCAGTTGTCTTTCTAAATATGGGGAGCCACCCATTTAGATACAAAATGACAGAGTACATCATGGTTTAGTGGTGGAATAAGTCTGCTGGTGTTACCTGAAAATGCACCATTGAAAATTGCCTATGCTTAGGCTAAACTGCAGCGATGCACTTGAGCCCACTTTGAATTACAGGTTTTTCCTTGTAGTTTGAAAACAAAAATACAGTTTATTAGCTTACTGAGATACACATATCAAAAGTCCAAATTAGAAAAGCATGAGACTGGGGCACCTGGGTGGCTCAGTCAGTTAAGCAACCAACTCAATTTCAGCTCAGGTCATGATCTCAGGGTTGTGCAATTGAGCCCCATGCTGGGCATGGAGCCTGCTTGAGATTCTTCCTCGCCCTCTGCCCCTCCCCCACTCCTAAGAAAAAAAAAAAAACAAAAAAAGCATGAGATTAACCAAGTGTGCTATTTGCATAGCTGTATACTTCCCTACACACTTTAATAATTTGTATGTTAGGGTGTATATTAGTTTTTTGGTTTAATGCCTATCTTTTAATATAATTGTGCTAACAATGATTTTTGTTTTATCCTCAACTTCCACAACCATCACCTTGCCTCAGAGATACCAATCCCAGCTGTCCGGTGCCCCTTCCTCAAAGGTCTGAGTCCCATCTCTGGGGGGCCCTCCCCCAAGCTCCTGTAGTACCAGCACCAGCTGGCAGGCAGCAATCTAGGTCCTAGCTCCACAGTGCCCTTCCTCTAAGCTTCTAGGTTTTGATAACCTCAAATTCTTTCCTTTGTGTAGGCATGGTAGCTGCTTCCTAAAGTTGTGGGGTTTTTTGTTTTTAAATCTCTGTGTTGCCTTACTATTTGACTTTTTCTTTTTCAGTCCTCTAATACAAATCTAACACTCTATATTAAATTTACTGTTAAAATACCTGATGTGGTTTCTGTTTTCTTGGGTGGACTTGAATGATAAAGCCCCTGACAGTGGTTCAGAAAGTGGTTTTGAATTGTTCTAGGGCAAGGATGGTAGTAAATAGTTTCATATTAAAAGGAGACTCTAAATGATTAGTAGTGGCTTGCCCATTTGCAAGTCAATCCAAGCCCAGATTACCGTTATCACTATGGATGTCATTTCTTTTGTAAAACTTAATATAAATGGAGTTCTACAGTACATCCTCTTACGCCTGGCTCGTTTCACTCAGCATAAGGGTTCTGAGATACATCAGCGTTGTTGCATCAATTAGTAATTTGTTCCTTTTGCTTTTTGCATAGCGTTTTGTATTAGGAATAAAGCTGCTGTGAACATTCATGTACAAGTTTCACTGTGAGCATGTCTTTATTTTTCTTACGTAAATATGTAGGAATGGCAGTGCTGTGGCGTTATGATTAAGTGTATATTTAACTTCCTAAGAAACTGTCAAGTGGTTTTCCTAAGTGAGAAACAGCTGCTCCATATTTTCACCAACACTTAGAATTACCAGTCTTTCAAACTTTTACGTTTATGTTTTTTACAAATCTAGCTTTTGAGTTTATCTAGCCATAAAGTGAAAAAGACTACTGCCGGAATCCTGACTTGCGTGTATCTTGACATAGTCTTTCCAATTTCAGCTCTTTAGGGAGACTGTTGTGCTATTTTACTGTGGTTTTGATTTGCGTTTCCTCATGACTAACAATGTTGAGCCTCCTTTCATATGCTTATTGGTCATTCATGCATCTTCCTTTATGAAGTGTTTGTACAAACCTTTTGCCTGTGTTTTAGTTTTTTTAATTAATGAATTATAAGAGGTCTTCATAAATTCTTGATACAAGTGCTTTGTCAGATATATGAAATGCAAATATTTTCTTCCACTCTGTGACTTGCCTTTTCATTTCCTTAAAGTATCTTTTTTAACTTATTTTTAAAAGATTTTATTTATTTATTTGGGAGAGAGAGAGAGTGTGTGTGTACACAAGCAGAGAGGGAGAGGATCACAGGGAGAGGGAGAAGCAGACTCCCCGCTGAGCAGGGAGCCCATATGGAGGCTCCATCCCAGGACCCTGGGATCATGACCTGAGCCAAAGGCAGACGCTTAACCAGCTGAGTCACCCAGGCGCCCCTCCTTAAAATATCTTTAAAAGATAAGTTTTTAATTTTGATGAAGATCAACTTATCAATTTTTCTCTTATAACTGGGTTATTTTGCATTGTATCTAACAAATCTTTGCCTTTTCCAAGTTTAAGATAGTCTAAATTTTCAAAATTGGAACTTTTATAGTTTTAGCTTTCATGTTAGGTCTTTGACCATTTTTTGGTCTTCTTTAATTTCAACACTATTATGTAGTCTTTAGTGTACAATACTTATAAATAAATATCTTGTTAAATGTCTAAGTATTTTATTTCTATGCTATTTTAAGGGATATTTTTAATAATTTTACTTTTTAATTGTTGCTAGTATATAGAAATAGTAAATTTTTGTATTTTGGCCATCCATCCTGTAATATTGTAAATTCCCTTAGTAGGTCTAGTAGCTTTCTTTTTTTTAGTTGCTTAGGATTTTTCTACATAATCATGTCATCTATGGGTAGACGCGGTTTTACTTCTTGCTTTCCAGTGTGATGACTCTACTTGTTGTCTTACCTCATTGCCTTGCCTAGGACCCTCCAGTACAATGCAGACGAGAGAGTAAACATACTTGCCTTGTCCCAGTCCCGGGGGAATGCATTCATTCTTTTACCACTAAGTGTGATGTTAGCTTGAGTTTTGCAGATGTACTCTGATTGAAAAAGTTCATCTATTCCCAGTTTGCTGAGTTTTTGAGTGTTGAATTTTGTTCAGTGCTCTTCCTGCATATACTGAGATGATTATAGATGTTTTCTTCTTCTTGTCAATATGGTGTGTTTCAATGATTGATTTTTTTGAGGGTTAAACTTTGTATTCCTCAGATAAAATCTGAAGAATCTATTGTGATATATTAATATTTTTTTCCTTTTTCCTGGATCTTTGTGTTACTAGTGAAGGGTTTTTCTGTCAATATTTATAAGGAATATTGGCATACAGTTTTTTTCTGGTTCTGTTATTAGAGTAATGGGGGCCTTATGAAGGTAGTTGGGAAGTGTTCGTTCCTTCATTTTCATAAAGAATCTGTGTAGGGGGTGCCTGGGTGGCTCAGTCAGTTGAGCATCTGACTCTTGATTCTGGCTCAGGTCATGATCTCAGGGTTGTGAGACTGAGCCCCTGGTTGGGCTCTGTGCTCAGTGGAGAGTTTGCTCCTCTGCCCCTCCCACCACACACACACACATGCTCTCTCTCTAAAAAGATAAATTTTTTTTTTTTTTTGCATCAAACACACAGGAAATACTTTATTAGCTCCCAGATGGAGAATAGGGTAGAGTAAAAATATTTCAGTAGGAATCCATGGCTCTCCTCAATGAGCCCACTCGGGCACTCGGGGCCCCCCAGTCGCGGTAGCTCCTGTAGTCCCCCGGTCTCAGCAGGTACTGCCGCCCCCGGTAGCTGGGCAGCTCGTAGAGGATCCAGCAGCCCTCCAGCACGTGGAAGGAGTGGATCTCACTGAAGTGGAAGCGGTCATGAAGCGAGGAGCAGTCCTCGGTGATCTCTACCATCTGGCCTCTGTAGTCCTCTAGCTCGTAGATCCTGATCCTGTGTGAACTGGTGTGGGGGATGAGGCGGCAGGAGCGGATGGAGTCGCTGAGGCCCAGCCACTGCTGGTAGTCGGGGTAGTCCCCGCGCCGCAGGAAGTACTGGTGGCCCGCGTAGTTGGGCTGCTCATACAGCATCCAGCAGCCGCTGTCCACGCGGATGGAGTTGCAGCGGCTGAAGTAGGGCTGCAGGTTCGGGTGGTCACTGCTGCACTCATAGCA